ATATAAAGTTGACATATCCGTTATTTTCACAGTTTATGTTCTCATCAGGTCATTTCGTCCTCGTAATCTCTCGTTTACCTCATTACACCTAATGTATTCAGAACTTTCAGTGTTTTTTTATTTTTGGATTAAAACAGATGATTTATTGTAAAAATATAAAAAAATAAAAAAACAAACAAACAAAAAAGAAACGTAGAGACGAGACGACCTTTCCAGAGTTCCTCTCCTCAGTTTTGATCCTGCTTCCGTTACATTTCACAGTAAAGGAACTTTATCTGTTTTGTCCTCCTTGTGGACTGATGGTGATTTCACTGAACTACTCTGCTGCCAAGACAGACTTTACAAAAAATAATAATAAAAATCATGGGAGGATTTGTTTGTGGTGCTTCAAAGTTACCGGATTGTGACGAGATTCCACATTTTCTTTTTTGTCATTTGCTCATATTTAAAAAAAAATCATGAATGAACTTCAAATAATTGTTTTTATTTCACCTTAAAGATGGCTTAAAAAAAACTGATAACATGTTTCGGTTCACGTGTTTAAAGGAGGCAGGTTTGTGTGACGGTAGATTACAACTGTCTGGTAGTTGCTCCGGTACGTACGGTCTGTGGTGCTTTCTATCATTATTTAAAAGCCGTTCTGTGACGCACAAAAAGGAAGACGAGCGAGATCTGAGGCGTCGGAGCTCCCGCTTCTCCGAGGCTCGAACCAACGGACTCCTGTTTCAGCGTTTGTTCTGGATTCAAGCTTAGCATCGTGTGTGTTTTCTGCCAATGCCTWAGACTGTGTTTGGGTGGAGATCTTTGAAAAAGAAATGGGGGAAGGAGGGTGTTTGTGTCTGTGAGAGCCACATTTCCTTACAAAATGCCTTTTTCTACAGTAACTCCTCCCCCCTTCAACACAACCAGTGTTTCATTCCTGTGTACCTGTTAGAGCTGACCTGTTTCAATGACTGCTATAGAAATATATAAAACAGGAAGTCATGAAGTCATCTCTTTGTTCCAGCATCTTTTTTATCTTCAGATTGTGTTTACCTTCAGGTAGGGGTGTTCAGTTGTAGACCTCGGGGCGTTTCTAACCTGAATGTTTTCATTCATTCCTGTTAATCACTCATTTATTCAGACCAGGTGTGTTGGAGCAGAGCAAAAGCACCATTTATCTTGTTAGCCTGGAAATTTTACTTATTTCAAGTTCAAGTTTATTTATACAGCTCCAAGTCACAACATACGTTGTCTCAAAAAGAACAATGTAAAGAAGAAAGCAGCAGATTGTGTTGAATCACTTCATCACAGTCTCCCATCCTGAGCAAACGG